ACACACTCTAAGACTGTTTTTTTCTTTTTGGCCAGCTATTTGGTTCTTTGTTAAGAAACTCAGTATTTAATTAAAGCTTGTTGAAAAAAGGTCACTGTGTTTTGAGTTTTAGAATATTCTGCTTTTTTGATAAAGAGCCTAGTACTCAGGTCTTTTAACATGTTCCTCTTTATCTTTTTTCTTTTAAAGCTTGGCACTACTTAGTTTAAGTAAAAACTGTAACTTTGGATAAAAAAAGTCCTACAAGTTTGTTGGATTGATAACATAAATGTTTTAAGAGCTTGTTTGATGTATTCTTAGAAACTGCTTTATTTGAAAGCATAAGGATATTAAAACAAATTCATTCCAATATTATTCTTATTTAATTGATAAATTTTATTGACCAGAAAATGATAAACATTATTGACCAGAAAATGATAAACATTATTGACAAAAATAACATTTTGTAGTCAATAATATTTATCAGTTAAATAAGAAATAGTTATTTTGTTGAAAATATAGGCTTGAAAATACCAATATGGCCACTAAATGATATGCATAGAGGCAATAATAGTATTAAGGAGATAATAGTAAATATTTTCAAAGTTTTAAAGGGATATATAAAAAAAATAACTAAAAAAAAAAAAAAAAAAAAAAAATTTAAAACAATGTAGTTTATAATTTATTTTTAAAAAACTTTAATTTCCAATGTTTTCCTAACACTTCATATTTAAAATTTATGTCCTTTGTTTTATTAAAATGCAATTTTTTTCATATTTCTTATCATTAAATATATACCATAGCAGAATGTTTATATGTCAACATATTATTTAACATGTAAGAAATACATCCAAGGTGGCCAGCCAATTTGTACAATTACATTCCCTGACCTTTCCCTGGCTTTTCCCTGACTATTTATATTTTTCCCTGACTCAGTTATATTTTAAAGTGTGAGTTTTGAAGTTTTGTTGTTTGGGAGTAAGTAAAAAAAAACCTTTACAAAAAATTAAATTTTGAAAAAGAGATTTTTGTTCCTGACTTTTGGAAAAAAAATTAAAAATCCCTGACTTTTCCCTGATTTCCAGTTGGCTGGCCACCCTGACATCATTAAAAAATGTAGCAATCAATTTTCTGAAGAATAAGATCTGTAATGTAAATCAATAATCTTGTCAAGTGATTTCCAATTATTTGTTATTTATATATTATTTATTTGTTATTTATATATTATTTATATATTTGTTATTTATATATATATTTATATATTCCAAGTATTTGCAACTGTAGTATTTCTGATGTTGTAGCATTAACAATTTCAGTATAATGCTTTAAGACAAAATGCCATTGACAGAAATGTTTCTTGTACGCAATATATGACATTTGAGTGCATAAGGATTATATAAATAATAAGAAAAGGAGTCCAGAACTATGTTTTTACATACCAACAATTGTCCTTTTACATACCAACAATTGAACAAGATCCCTAACTCTGTGTTTAGGCCCACATTTATTAAATTGAATTTCTATTGTATTTTATTTATTTTTTCTTATTTTTATATATTGTATTTTCTTGATCTTTTCTTACAAATTCTCATAATTCTATTTTAATGTTTTAATATAATGCCACTTTATATTAAGGAAACAACTAATTTTGGGGCGTCAAAAATAGTTATTTGTAGTCTGGTTAATTTCCACTTTGTTGTTTTACTTTTGCTAGTTTTTTTCTTGCCAATATATTTTTGTTTAAACTTACTTTTAAATTATTTTGTGAGAGTTTTGTTTTGCTTCATAAAGTTAAAAAAGATTTAGACTCGTGTTTTAATTAACAGTTTTTCAAACTGATTTTGGATAAGATCTTTTTAAGTTTTGAAGAACCATTGTTCTGAAGAATAAGCTAGCATTTATACGTCTATCTGAAGCATTTATATGTCTATCTGAAGAATAAGCTAGCATTTATATGTCAATCTTGAGCAATGTTTACTATGAGTAAGTGTCTACTATGAGTAAGTGGACAATAAAATTTCTTACTTTAATAGACATTCTCAAATTTTTTTTATGCCCATGTAAATCCTTTTATGGTTTTGTTAATTTTATATTGTTTTATTGTTATTTGTGTTAATAAACATTTGTTTTATTTTTCACATTGTTAGATAAAATAAAAGAAATAAAACAGGTTAAATTATTTTAAAAAAATGCAAAAATATGCATCAAAGGACTAGACCGAGCTGTCAAGCCAAAGTGAAATAAGGAAAAAATTAGAAACAGAGAGAGAATAAAAAAATAAAATAAAAAAATATTATAAACAGATGTTCAGAGCAAAACAAAGATACTAAAGTAAAGTAAAGTATATATTAATGATAATATAAAATATATATTAATGATAATATAAACATCGCGCATGTAATAGAAATAATAAACTCATATTCAAAATGGAAAGTCACAACCAACATACAAGGTATACAAAATTGAAGTAAAAATACTAAGTTAAACATAATACGCTCAGAGCAGGAAAATAGAACCTGGAACTACCAGGTTGACACTTTAACCGATAAGCTATAGATGCTCATATATAAACAAGATAATAAACGTAATAAAATAATAAAATAAACAATAAAATTAAATGACAATAAATAGCATACATACATACATAAATACATACACACTTCCATATATACATATATACATATATACATATCCATATATATATATACACATATATACACATAAAAAAAAAAAAAGGGAAAGCAGAAAGGTAATAAAAATAATGGTGTTGAAAGATCCAATTGAAATTAAGTAGTGGACTAATGTAGGTGAAACTCCATCCTCAGGGCCACAATATATTCACCAACAATGTTTTGGAGAGCCTGATAAAAATGGCTAGCATCACTCGTTAGGGTAAAAAAAATAAATAATATTAATATTAGTGTAAATACACATAAGGATAGCATACACAAAAGGGAAAGCAGAAAGGTAGATACACAAAAGAGAAAGCAGAAAGGTAATAAAAATAATGGTGTTGAAAGATCCAATTGAAATTAAGTAGTGGACTAATGTAGGTGAAACTCCATCCTCAGGGCCACAAAATATTCACCAATAATGTTTTGGAGAGCCTGATAAAAATGGCTAGCATCACTCGTTAGGGTAAACAAAATAAATAATATTAATATTAGTGTAAATACACATAAGGATAGCATACACAAAAGGGAAAGCAGAAAGGTAGATACACAAAAGAGAAAGCAGAAAGGTAATAAAAATAATGGTGTTGAAAGATCCAATTGAAATTAAGTAGTGGACTAATGTAGGTGAAACTCCATCCTCAGGGCCACAATATATTCACCAATAATGTTTTGGAGAGCCTGATAAAAATGGCTAGCATCACTCGTTAGGGTAAAAAAAATAAATAATATTAATATTAGTGTAAATACACATAAGGATATAAAGATTAAAATATATCTAAGTCTCTTACCATGCTCGATAAGTAAATAAAATATTTTTAAGAAGTGGGTAGTTCATTACCCTAGCTAATAGACGTGAAACTGAAAACTAAACTAATATCAAGAAAAATAAGATCTAAATTAAAGACATAGCAGCGCTTACAACAACAAAGTGACTTAGGGACATCAAACGAATAAAAAATACTAGCAATACTATTGGCTAAAAACATGCTCAGGGGAAATTAATAGTTAAACAGTATGAGCCTGAAAAAAGATCTAAACGTAAATAAATATATATAAAAAACAGTATAATAGATATGGCCGTATGACTACAGCAAAGATAATGATGTATTAAAAATAAACAGTCTAGTAATATATACAGACATCAAATAACTAAAATATACAAAAAATGGTCTAAACTTTGTATGCACACATAATACATGGGCCAAATGTATTAAAATATCTTTAATCGATGCTCTATTGAAATAGGTAGGTGTGGGTATCAATGGAAATATTTCGACTAAATAGGGGTCATCTCTAATAATATGCCAATGCTCCACTACAATGTTATTGATATCTCTACCAATATCACAATAAGGAGTCATTATTGGTAATATATCTGCATCTATATTCTTGGAGGGTTTGTTAATTAGTTGATTTCGATTAAATTATAAGGCTTTAGTAAATTGCAAGTTGATTCATGAAGTTATATACCTCATGTAATTGTTTCATAGATCCATAAAACAAGAAAAAGATGTCATCAATGTAACGTTTATAAAACTAAATTAAATTTGGGAACTGGGTTCCAATTTTATCGTCTAATATACCCATAAACAAGTTAGAATATTGCGGTGCCATTCTTGTACCCATTGATGTACCATCAATTTGTTAATAGAACCTACTAGCAAATTGGAAAACGCTAGATGTAAGAATGTTTTCTAAAATTGTATAAATATAGGCTAAAGGTCGGCATAATGGTAATCTCTGATGAATTGGAATTTGTTTCATATAAAAGATGGTAGCTTCAATTCCTTCTTGATGTGGGATATTGGTATAGAGTGATGTGACATCTGCTGTTACAAAAATATAGTTAGTAGAGGTGAATTGGTTGGATTGAAGCATATGAAGAAAATGAGTAGTATCTTTGATATGAGGGGAGATATTCTGCCAATGGTTGTATAAAGTGTGTGATGAACTTAGATAAATGGTCCGTTGGGGCATTACATGCTGAAGCAATAGGTCGTAATGGTATACCTTCTTTGTGAGTTTTCAGTAATCCGTAAAAAATTTACTTTTTACATTGTTAGATAGTAAAGTAAAAGAAATAAAACAGCTAAAATTATTTAAAGGTAAAAAATTTTTTTTGACCATAAAAATGATAGTTTAACTAAGAAAGTGTGCCTAAAACTTTTCTTTCTACTTTATCAATAAGCAAAAGAATGTTGGGAATACACTTTGAAATAATAATTATGTACAAGTAAAAGATAAAATTGAAATATTTTTATAAAACTCATTTATTGTTACTCTATTTCTGTACAAGTTTTAGTTTTAGGAACATAACATAAAACACAAAAGGAACACAAAGTAAACCTGTGAAAGTGCTGTTGTCAAAATAACTGTAAATATTCCAAGCAAAAACACAGGAGAGCGATTGAGTCCAGCAGACCAATAAATTGTTGTGTACAAGATAACTTGTGGTATTAGCATAATTGGAAGGTCAACTATGTTTTTTGCAGTGAAGTATGCAGAAAGACAATACATACCAGACGAACGTTCTTTTGCAATAACTTTATTTTCTGCAGGAACTGAAAAATAAACAAAATACTTTTTTCACCAAATATATAATGTAACAATCATACTACTAACTTGTAAAATGAAAAAAAAAAAAAAAACTGAAAGTAATAACTATTAATGTTGCCTAACACATATGTTGTGCAAACATGTTGTACAACACATATGTTGTGCAAACATGTTGTATAATACATGTTGTACAATTATGTTGTATAACACATGTTGTGCAAACATGTTGTATAACAAATATGTTGTGTAAACATGTTGCATAACACACATGTTGTGTAAACATGTTGTATAACACATGTTGTGTAAACATGTTGTATAACACATATGTTGTGTAAACATGTTGTATAATACATGTTGTACAAACATTTTGTATAACACATATGTTGTGTAAACATGTTGTACAACACATGTTGTGCAAACATGTTGTATAACACATATGTTGTGTAAACATGTTGCATAACACACATGTTGTGTAAACATGTTGCATAACACATGTTGTGCAAACAGAATATATAGGCAAAGCAAAGATTGTTTAAAAAAAAAGTTTATGAACTTGTTGAGAACATTTTTTTGAATATTTTTTTTGAATTTTGAAATAAATTTAGTAATTCAACTATAGTTATAATAATACGTGATCTATTTTTATATTGTACGTGATCTTTATTTGGCATAATCATACATACCAAAATGAAAAAAACTTTTATTAGACGTTAAAATTGCTGCTAATAATAAGTTATTAAAAAAAAAATTAATATTTAAGAACCTATTCTCTTTCTTTTATTAGATATCATTCTAATAATGAATTAAGCAGTCAATTCTTATGGAATATTTTCTTATTTATTTAAATGCTGTAATGTAATATTAACTGTTTACTTGGATATTATAATAAAATGTTGACTTACCATATAATAAAAAAATGTTTACTTACATGTCATAATAGAATGCATCATTTGACGCATAAATATATACATCAAAGCAAAAAATATCTAAACAAAAAAAAAAAAAAAAAAACTTCAAGTTTTAGAGTAATTTACAAAAATTTCAATTTAAAGGGATCCCAAACCTCTGAGACATGTTGTGTTCATATTAAAGAATTCACTTTTACTGGACAAAATTCATAACTAATTTAATATTGAAGCTATATTCACTAAAATTAGCATGAACACTTGTATGATGTCTGCGCTTTTTATGAAGGTATATTTTTTTATTTCGTTTGCTATGGATACCTTTATTTTGCTTAGCAACAACCTATTTTTGTTATCTGAGATTTTTTTATGAGTGCTATATTCCCTAAATTTGGCATGAGTACCAATATGAGATCATACTTATTATAAAAGTGATAATTTTTTTAATTTAGTTGCTATGGATACTTATATTGCTTAGTTACCAGATACTTTCCTTAGTTACAAAGATGTAAGTTGATATTTGAATATTCTATCAGATTTTCAACCCACCTATAATAAATAACAATTAATTTTTTAGGTTAATGATGTTTTTGCTATAATAAAAACAAAAAAATAGTGCAAGAAAGTATTATCAATTTTAAATTACATTAAAAATTATAAAACAATAACATCGTTTAAAGATTGTTTAAGTAATTGTAAAACATCTGAAGAAAATGCTTTATGATTTTTTCGGTTTGATGTTGATTTACGCAGTGATGAAGTAACAGGATCACTGGAAACTAGGAGTCTATTGATAAGATCAGCATTTGTTGCTTTTCTGAATGTTTTTTTTGGCTGAAATTTTCGCGATAAGATTCGACGTCTTTATTTCTAACCTTTTGAGCTTCCTCTGAAATAAGGCCCATAGATAATGTAAGGTTTTTAATTAAGTCATGTCTATGTGTCAATGCTTCGTGAACTGATTGAGCCATGTAATAACATGGAAAGTTTGTTAGACTATATGTGTCCCATAATAAAGGGACACATATAGTCTAACAGCTTCAAAACAATAATCCTTGAATTTTAAGCTATTTCATATCCTCAAGAGAGTGTTACCAAGATAATGTAAAATCTGAATATAAGGTTTTGATCAATACATAGAATTTCAGCTGTTTGTTCATATGCTGAAAAAGCATGCCTTGATGTATTGTCATCATTGCTTGTTCCAGAACCACCACTTTTAGGGAAATCAACAACAAGTCCCATTTTGTTCATAAAATCAGTCTGAATCTTTTGTTTAGCTAAAGATGCCTTTTCTTTGTGTTCTTCAGATCTTGCTTGCCACTTTTTTGTTTCTTTTTTATATGCAATGTGCAAAACCATCTCAAAAAATTGAATCCATGCATGAAGAATGGAAAGACCATATTTGAACTCTCTGTTAGTATAATCTATATTAAGGAAATCAAGACTATTCATATTTTTTGGGAGACACCACACACTGAACAGTATTGGTATGAGTTTTTTCAGATAATATTGTTTGAACTTTCCCATCAATCATTGTAAGTTCAATAATATAATTCACTTCAATAAAAAAACCGCAAACCTCTTATAAAATCATACCCATGCTTTTAATGTACTGATTTTATTTCACTTTTAATGTACTGATTTTCTTCGATCACAGATTCCTTGGATTCCGTTTTGCAAGCAAATCTTATGGGTCTACAATAGGCTATGGATGAAGACTTTTGATTTCTCAAAATAGGCACCTTTTCGTTATTGTTGTTAAATCCAGTCAAATCCAATGAAGCTAGATAATTTATAAATAATAATTCTTCACACTTTAAATCTCTATTCATGTAAGGTTCTGATAAAACTTGTTTATAAATGCCTTAGTCAGTAGCACCTTAAAAAACCAGTCTTACACGTAAGTGTCATTGTTTTTATTGCTTTGTCATTAATTTTCAAGTAACTCAGCACAAGTTCCTGAACTACACAGATTCTTTGCAAGGTATGAATCATTAAATCTTTTAAAGGAACTGAAGCTGAATAGTCCTCCAATGTTATATTTGCAGGATAATATTTCAATTTTGCATCTCTGACATCATTGTAAGCGGGGTAGAGGGTATATATTCTTTCTCCAAAGCTCTGCTTCTAATCAATTGATAAGAAGCTTTTGTCAGACTGGCATCAATAATATAAAGCCAGTGCTTCGTCTGCTGAACATATAGTTGCTTGAACTGTATTTAAAGAATTTAAAAAGTTCTTGGCAGCACTAACAATAAATACATCTCTAAATTATTTACTAGCAGCAAAAAAAAATTCACTGGATGAATAGGATTCAATTAGTTTTATTAGAATTATTATCAAATGCAACTGGTTTTCGACCACATCTATTTGCAGTTGATTTGTTGTTGTTTTTTTCTAACAATTAAATATTTATTAAGCCAATTTACAAACTTCTTTTCAAAATTTTTAACAGTATTGTTGGCAGATTTTCAACTTTTTTTTTATACAAGTAAACAAATCTATGAACATCATGTCTAAAATCAACGTCTTTAAATTCAGCAAATTTTGGCTGAATAAATTTCAATATATCTTCAGTAATATTTTGTTTTGAAATACTAAGATTGTTTTTTTGGAGAAAATTATGAATGTCTAAGTTTAATAAAGCCATATCTAAATAATTCTTATTAAAAAGTTTAATATTATAATATATATGCCGCGTACACTACTAATTCGTGTTAGTAATTAAGTTACTACAAGTGTTAGTAATTAAAATTAAAAGTAATTAAATTAATGTTAGTGTAAGAAATTCAATTACAGACAACTACCGAAAATATGTTGTTTATTATGCTATGGAAAGTAAGGTAGCCATAGCAACCAAAAAAAAAAAAACCTCATAAGAATTGTAAATCTCATTTTAGTACATACTCCCAATATTATATTACTTAGTGCAGATAAAATACTGTTAAAACAACGTTAATGTAAAAATGAGCTGTTGCTATGCAAAATTCAGCACTATAACAACCAAGTAAAAACATATATAAAATCTGAACGGGGATTTGAGGGGACGAGCAATCAATTAAAACATGATTGAAGCATCATATAGCTTAAATAAATATAAAAACAGCACACGGCAAAATATGGTATTTATTAGTTATAGTGCGGCAAAAAAAAAAAAATCTTCATGAAATTTATTATTTAAAATAAATTTCATGAAGATTTTTTTTTTTCTCAGTTATATTTTGAAAATCTGTGATTTTCAAAATATAACTGAGATAACATCTAATGACATACTTATTTCACATATTGGTTTTTCTTATCTCTAAATACTCTAGAACAACATGTACTAATTGTTTGTTTCAAAAACGTAGATGTAATTGAAATATAACACAGCGTTAATGTCACCGTAAATTACTTATTTAAATTTTTTTTTTTAATTTCAATATTCAAATGCTTTAGAGTCCTGGTAACAAAGGGATTTCATATAAATAAATTATCAAAAAATTCTTCCTAATATATGTAGATACTAAAATTAAATAAGTTTTCAAGATTAGAAAATTTTTTCTCATTTTGTCCACCTACTGGTGGAATGATTTAAAAGAAAATGTTTGGGCTAAATTTTTTTGATTAAAACAAAAGAATAAATGCATACCAAGAAAAAGTAACTTTTTTAGTTTAATCACCTCTGTTTTGTTGTAGGCCAAATAGTCTTCATAATATATGCCATAACCTACAGACTTGATAATTTATTTAAGCAAGTTTAATTCCTAAGAGTTTTAGTACATGATATCATTGATTTTTTTGTTTGTTTAAAAAATCGATTATGTAAACAAACAAAAAAATCAATGATGCCATGTACTAAAACTTATTGGAATAAAACACGCTTAGTTTTTCTTGGTATGCATATATTCTTTTGTTTTAATCGAAAAAATTTAGCCCAAACATTTTTTTCCATCATTCTCTATAATTTGAACACAACATGCCTCAGAGGGACCCCTTTAATGATTTTAATTTTAATTTTTCAAGATTTATCATGTATTACAAAATAGCATAAAAATTTGTCGACTGCATAATCTAATTTATCATACACTTAAACAAACAAATCATCAATTACCACTCCTTGTCTATCAGATATCGATGCTTCTGTATAAGGTGTATTAAACCATACTAAGCCTGCAATAATTGCTACAAAAATAACCTAAAAAACAATTATGTAAAAATCAAAAATATATAAAAAAATACTTTTCAATTTTTTGTTGCAAAATGGTTATAATATATAATTACAAAAATTTGTAGATAATATTTCTTAAAATTTACATTTTGTGCTATAATTATCTAGTTTTAATGGGCCCTGTCACAATAAATTACTTAAATGTAAAAGTAGCCAAGAGGCATCTTCGAAAATTTTAATTTTTTCATTTCATATAAAAACTAGTGTGCAAAAAACAAAAAAAAAAAAAAAAAAAAAAAAGAGCTTAAAAAAAAACAAACAACCTAAATAAGAACAAAACTAAATTGAAACAATATCATTCATAATTAAAATCACTTGTTTGAGTGAGATTAAAACCACTTGTTTGAGTGAGATTAAAGTAGATTAAGAAATCATTTTACTGAGATTTAGTCAAGAATAATTCTTATAGTAGAATTGATTTTAATAATTCAAAAGTACCTGAATAAAGCTTAACTTATCCCATATTTCACTTTTAGCTTCAATAAAAGAGCGTTGACATAATGCAGTAACTTGAGTACAGAAACCTGATGGCCATTTTTTACTTGAAAGAGATTCATCTGAATTCTTGATGGACATTAAAAAAAAAAAATTAATGAAATTAAAACATTACTTAAGCATAGAAAAAGAAAGAGTTTATTAACATTTTCTTTACATATATATATATATATATATATATATATATATATATATATATATATATATATATATATATATATATATATATATATATATATATATATATATATATATATATGTATGTATGTAGGTTATTAGGTGAGGTTTTTGATCAATGTTCATATAAATTTAAAAAAAGTAACCAACCTAATATATTTATGTGTGTGTATATATATATAAATATATTTATACACACACATTTAACATTTTAACAATCGTTCACCATTAATAACAACAATATTATTCAACAGTAATATTCTAGAAGGGATATTTTCATTATTTCATATTTAGTTGCAGCAAGAATAGCGATTGTTGCTATATTAAAAAATATTTATAAATATTCAATAATTGCCTGGTTTTCCTTCTAGCATAGATCATCCAGGTTATATTTTAAAAATATGAAAAACTGTAACAGGTAAAATCTCCGAAAAAAACCCGGAACATATTTTCCTGTTAATAATGTTTAAGCTCAGTTGCTTTCAAAATTTTTTGAGTTTTTTGAGTGAGAAAGCTTGAAAAACAAATAAATTACAAAAATATCAACCAAACTTGTATGTACAGAAAACGTTTTGGATATCCGGAAAAACGAAAAGTCTAGAAAAAAATGTGGAATTCAGAAAATATCCCGAAAAAGATAATTCCTGTTCTAGAGAATTCTAGCCAATTGTTGAAAAATTGTTTCTGTTTGTTTTTGACCACTACAGTATTTTCTACAGAGATAAGTTATTGTTTTATTAAAAATATGATTGCCATTTAGTCAAGCTAATAAAAATATTTTTTTAATTGCAGAGTTTCAATGGCTTTTAAAAAATCAAGTAACGATATTAATAAAAATTCTCTTTTGTGGACCAATAATCTGGTGAGATTTAAAAAAACCATTTAACTATGGAAAAGCATCCTATTTAAAAAAAAAAAAATTATTAAAAAATTACTTTAAAATACCTCTGAAAAGCGATATTATTGACAGATAATTTATCTTGCAAAAAATGAGAAGTGCCGCAAAGCAAATATAAAATGATTATGAAAGAATTGGAGTCTTTGTGGATCATAATGTTAAATTTTCCCTGTCATAAAATTGAAGTCTATAGCAAAAAGAGTAGAAAATCTAATATCTAATAACAACACCTTTATAAAACACCCTGATCAAAAAGATAAAAAAGTTACTTTTACTAGTATATTTGACATTACCTGAACAAATGGAGAGGGTTTATAAGCAGTTATATAAAAAAATCAAGTCTTAAGTGACAGAAAGGTGGAGGTACACATCAACGAAATGCATACCAGTGCAACCCTGTAAAACAATAAAGCAATCCAGTCAGTTGACTCAATTTTTCTCAGAACTTGTCAATTACTCTGCAAAGTCTCGATTAGCAACTCAGAAACTAATGATGACAAATCCTATAAGCCTCCAGAAAAAAAAATTGTCTCGCCGAACCCTTTAACAACTAAACCCGTTATCTCAGTCATGAAAGTTAACATAAGCACCATGAATGTGTCTGAATTATGCAAGCAGTTATTTGCTAACAGTATCAACTAGCCCAACCCCTCCCATGTAGGATTTCTGGAAGCAATAAAGTAACAGACAGAAAAGATGAAGATAAATATGAAAAGAACTGTGAAGGAAGAAAATTGGGCTATGCATTTTGATGGAAAGAAAGTTAATGGCAAGAGACTGCAAGTGGTGTTAATCAAAAATGTCAAAAAAGAAATCAGATTGGCGGTTATAACTCTGAAAAATTTGATAGCCCAAACAATTGTTATGGGTATGAAAGATATTCTGGATAATTTTGGGTTGTGGGCATCAACATAAATGATTGTCATTTATATAACAGCTGTGAAATCTGGCAGGAAAAATGGAGTTGAATAAATTCTACAGCACCAGCAGAAACTAATAAATTCACTTGTGGCACAATATGTTGGCCGCCAACACCATTTTTGGACTGCATTTTAAACATATTATGAATGAAATCTTAGGCGATAACTGCTCTCAAGAAATTGTGTATGAGTTTGTTGATGGCATTTTGGACAATTATGATTCTCTATAAACAAAACTTGTGCAAAGCCAGACAAGATTGAATTTCTCTACTACTATATGTAGAGATAACATGTTGTTTAATTTGGAGCTGGTATATACCTTTTCTCTACTTCCTTAACAGTAAAAATGTATATTATATATATATATATATATATATATATATATATATATATATATATATATATATATATATATATATATATATATATATATGTATATATATATATATATATATGTATATATATATATATATATATATATATATTATGTATAAATTAAATTGTATATTATATTTGAATAATATATTAAATTTGTATATTAAATGTATATTAAATTTTGTATTAAATTTGTATATTAACTGTATATTAAATTTTGTGGATTGCTAAACTTGAGTAATGGAATTCACATGGAATTCATGCTACCCTGGCTTTTATTTTATTCCCTCAAATTAGAAATCGATTACAGAATATTTGTTCATTTATTAGTGGAATTTGGCTGCAGATTTGGTTTTCAAACCACCATTTTCTAGGAAACTCCAATACTAAGTTGGCAGAAGACGATTAAAATTATGAAAATGCTAACAAGTATTTTGGTGTAAAAAACCATCAATAGTTGACAGCCAGCGCAACAATAGTTGTGCAGAGAGAGCTGTACATTTAATGCTATCTTTGAACTCCAATCTTTAATGCATTCTTTGATGCAATCTTTAATGCAATCTTTAATGCAATCTTTAATGCAATCTTTAATGCAATCTTTAATGCAATCTTTAATGCAATTTTTAATGCAATTTTTAATTAAATCTTTAATGTAATATTTGAATTGCAATCTTTAATACAATCTTTGCATTGCAAAACTCTTAAGAGATTTAATTTACATTTTATAAACAGTAAAAAGGATTTATGAGACAAGATATTGCTTCACTTTCAATAACACATATTAGACAAAGAATAAACTTTATATTTTTTGAAAAAAAAAAAAAAAGAATACATATTTTTTCATTAAGACTTTTTTTTGTAGTGTAGAACCATGGTCACCACATTTTTTGAAAAATAGAGGGTTACCACCTTTTACACAAATATTGCTAACACACACACACACAAACACACACACACACACACACACACACACACAAACAAACAAACAAACAAACATATATTGCTGCATACTTAAGAACTCACCAATTTACTATATTGCACATGATAAAAAAAGTTTAATCAGGAGAGAATTTGAGCTATGGCAGACATTATATATCAATTTATGTAGTATGAGCATTTGTTAGAGAAAAAAATTGTCTTGCTACTTTATAGTTTTTTTCATTCTTCTTTGTCTGAATGAGTGGCTAGAGGACTGCTTTAAAATTTAAGTAAAAAAATGATAAAATCTTTGATGTTTTATCTTTTTAGGGAAATATAAGAAAAACTAGGTTAGTTTCTTATGATATCCAATCAAATCAAAGATTTTCTTATGATATCCAATCAAATCTTTTCGCCTATGATTACTTTGTTGCTGTTTTAATGTTGTAAGAAAATAAAATTTTTTCATATTTTTAAGAATTTCCAAATTAAAAAAGGGTACACATTGAAGCAATAAATAGTGTTTCTGTAGATATGGTATATTTTTCAAGAGGGTAAATTCCTCTAGCAGATGCCAAGATTGCAATGGATTGTTTATATTATTTCATGAAAGATCAATTAAAAAAAGAAAATCTAAAGTAACATAAAGTAAAGAATACAATGAGAGTGTTGCCATTCATCAACATAGGAATGTCAACAATATGGCAATATTCAGCATCTACTGTAAGTTCCAGAAGAGAGATCGCTTTCAAGATCAACTTCCTAAACTAAGCAATAGAGTGCCATTGCGCTTCTAAAAAAAGATTTAATAAACTTTTTGCAAAGCTTTCTGGAATCGAAATGTGGGCAAACAATACAAAATGCAAAGAAACTAAATACTAATTCTGAAGAAAATGTATATAAAAGTGCATTAAAACAATGTTATTAGGATTTATTTATTTATTCTTGCAACCTTGAACGTTTTCCAGCTGGTGTAATTAAAAAAAATAGAAATAACTAAAGATTCGATGACAAACTTGGAAAAAAAAATAAAATAAAAATAGAGTTTTGGAAATTATATTTACAAACAAAAAAATTATATCTTGTAGATTTTCATGTCCAAAAGAATGAAAATAAAATTAACATAGATGCAAATAATATGTATAATCATTACAACAAAAAAACTTGTAAACTTGTTATTAGTTCTAAAATAAATACAGAATGCAGCATTGTTTAATACAGCATTTTAATACTGGAAATAGCCATGATTTTATTGTTGATTTTTGACAATAAAATCATGTATCAACTTGATGTATCATTTAGTCCTTTATTATATGAACATGAAAAATATGATTTTATCACTTTAATGAAACTCAGTTTTTTACTTCTATTGACTTTCTTGGACCAATTATTAACTTTTATATTTCAGCTCAAGGAGTGGTGAAAACAAAGTTTTAATACTTTTCTGTAAATAAGCAAAAGCATGTATCAAATTTTATATCAGTGAAGCAATAGTGATGTTTTTTTTTTTCAAAAGTGTGGAATTATGGAGTAAATTAAATTTCAAGATTGTTTTTTTGTCTATAAAAGAATTTATAATTCAAGACTTGCTTTTACAGAAACAAGCAACTATTTATATTGCACTTTCTATCACACACTTAAATGTGAAAAGTTTACAAAGAGGCCATGCAATTAAAAACAATTTTAAAAAGTATTTGTTTTATTGCAATAATGACAAAAAAGTACATTCAAATAATAAAAAAAAAAAATCATTTAAAAGTTTGGGTTATTTGATTGAGTAATGCTTTATTTATTGGCATCTTAATTAGTTTATGTTACTTCATAATTTGTAAACTTTTAACAATGCTTGCGTGCTTGAATATCTTTGTAAAATTTTGTTTTTATAAATTTAATTGTCGGCAAAATAAATTTGATAAAAAGGTCTTAGCATAAAACGTAGAAACGAGTACTTGAGGTTGGAAAAATTGCCAACCTTAAACACTTTAAGGTTGGCAGTTAGGTTGGCATTACCGCATTGCCGACGATAATTCCGAGGGTTGTATATGTATATATATATATATATATATATATATATATATATATATATATATATATATATATGTATATGTATATATATATATATATATATATATATATATATATATATATATATATATATATATATATATATATATATATATATATATATATATATATATATATATATGTATATATACAGAGCTGTAGCTAGGCTACCCCACATACCTTAATGGGGGGTTGGAGGAGACTCAGTGATTTCAGGGGAGCCATTTGCAAATTTGAGGGCCCTTTTTGAAATCTAAGGAGCTTTTTGAGTTTCTTATATTTTAAACATAATAACCTTGTGATTCGCAGGGCCCTAATATATAATTATATTAGGGGCCTGCGAATCACAATTTTTAGTTTCTAACCAAATCATGATTCGAAGCAATTCTTGATTTGCAAATGGAATTGAATCACGAGTCCAATTACCCTTTTGAGGAAATCTATGTTTAACTAAAATATAGATACCCTTAAAAAGCTGATTTGTTTTGAGATTTGACTCGATTTGCGAATTAATGCCTGATTTGATTGGATTCGATTCCGAAAAAGGTGATTCACAGGGCCCTAATGTTATATATATATATATATATATATATATATATATATATATATATATATATATATATATATATATATATACACCTAATTTTTTCTTATATTTTAAAGATAGTAACCTTTAAATCTTTATTTCCATCTATAGTTTTTTTATTGTGATCAGTATCCTCATTGATTTCTGCAACAAAATTAATGTATGAATCAGGGTGATCTTCCTCCTCTGGCTTACTATAATTTTCCTCATCTTTTTTCAAATTTTCTCTGGAAACAACAACAACAAAAAAATTCAAATATTTGTACATCAATATGAAAAACAATATAAATCATTATAAATAATATAAATCATTAAAAAAGGCACTTTATTTTTCTTTAAACTTTTAGACTGCATTTAGAAAGAAAATATAAGAAATAAACAATGTAAAAATTTGAAAAAAAAAACATTTTATAAAAAGGAAAACACATTTTTCTTAAAACCAAAAACAAACACAGATAATATAATTAGTAATAAACAAGATAATGACAATTATGAATTTAAAACAAAGCTTCTTTTTTTGAATTTAAACCACATTTGTTACTTGATGTGGAAAATTTTGAAAATGACTAATTTCACTTAACTAAAACAATAAAGTTTAAGCATATAAGCAACGTAATTACAGTAAGTGAAATTAAAATTAGATGTTACAAAAAATGATATCAAACCTTAATATTTTGGTTTTTGCTAATAAAACAAATAACATTTACTAACTCACAACAATTTATGAGATATATGAACAAATTATTAGAAAATCCTACGCAATACTACTACTAATTCTTATGAGAAAAATTTTTAAAAACGCATTTAACCTAGAAGCCCAAAATTTTGCTAAAAAAATTGACTTTTTATTTAATTTTTAAAACATCTTCACTTTCAACAAGGCTGCAAGCAACCAATATTAGAGTTGAAAGTTACTGGAAGAAAAAGAATAAGGTTTATAAAGCAAGATAATAGTTACATATTATATGAATCACAAGAAAAAAATTAAGGGAGCAAATTCCAAAGAACTGATGTTTGAAGAAAAAAAACTAGGTGAATAAAAATATTAGGAGCACTTAGGTCACAACAGTCATAGTAAAAGAATGAGACTTAACTAAATGATGAGTAACACAGGAATAAATTTTAGCAGATGGCACAAGAGATGCTAGCTCTTTAGAGCAGCACTCATTATAGTATTTATAAAAAAAGAAAAAAAAGAAAAGCAACATTACAAAGATGTCATAATGATTGAGGGTTGGCTAAAAGAGCAGGTCCAACTATGTTTACAATGGATTTTTGCACCTTGTCTAAAAGAGGAAAGGGCATCAAGGGATGGATTTGAGATTTATAGAGATAAAGAATAGAATCTGGATTAAGAAAGTGGCTAGATACAACCTTAGTAGATGCTAATTTTGCTATGAATTTGATATATGATTTCCAAGAAAGATTGGAAGTAAGATTTAGTCCTAGATGACACAGGGCAGATGACACATTGAGTAAATTACCATTCATTATTATAGGAAAATCTAGATTATTGCAATAATAAGCAAAATTTGAGTTTATCAGAGATAAAGTTTACTAGCCACTGAGAGCCCCAAGTCTTTTCCAAGCAATCAAATAAATTGGCCTAATTTGAACTACATTGTTCAAATTAACATCAGGTCAGGTTATCCTGCTACATGTACCAGTACAACTTGCTTCATATCCTGCTGCTTTGCAGGATTTGCTTTTTTAGGCAAAGGCTAGGAGAAGCTAACTCAGACTTCCTCTGCCTTGGTGTCCTTGATTGAGTAAACGCTAGAGATGGTGTCTTGATAAAATTACTCATTGTATTAAAACCAAATAGGTTTGTAGAAGGCCTTCTTTTATTTCCTCTCAACAACTCCAAGTCAAGCCTCACTCTTACCAATGGTTTTCCTCGCATTGTACTGCTGCAATTTCTAATCTTAACCATTATTTTCATATTTACCAGCAAAACAATTCTCCAGAAAACAGGCATCTGTTTACTATTGCTATAAACCATTGTAAAAAGGTTTTGTCTAACACCAAAGCCCGCTATTCTCAGGTCACAAAATCTTGTATATAATCTCAAAAATTAGCATATGATGTCTTCTTGATAATCTTTAACAGTATCTAAACATGTTCGTATCACTATAGTTTCTGTATCTAAAGTGATTTCCTGTTTAGACTCTTCTGGTCTGGACAACATACCTGTTATAGTCTTGCAGAAGTGTTCTCCGGGACTGTCGTCTATACTTTTAAAATTATTTAACAAGGGCTTATCAGAGTCTTGTTTTCCAGCTTGCTGGAAAGCAGCATCTGCATTCTCAATTTTAAAAAATTCTAGAAAGCGATTTGACTCATCTAACTACCGCCCTATTAGTCTTCTTCCTATCATAAGCAAGGTTTTTAACTCTTTAATCAAAAAACACTTAATCTCTCATCTTAAATCTAATAAATTACATTCTGATACAGAAACAGATGCAAAAGAATCTCACTTCTGTTACAGCATGGGGGTCTCAGTGGCTGGTAAAATTTATCCAGATAAACTCAATTTTTTCCAGCTAATTGTTATTGCAATAACCTAGATCTTCCTATATTTATAAACGATTAACTGGTACTTTCGATCTTTTTAGAAAACCATATATCAAATTGATTGCAAAATTACCATCTGCTAAGGTTGCATCTCTTTAACATGCTCACCACTTTCTCACTCAGGATTCTTTTCTTTATCTCTATAAATCTCAAATTCGTCCTTGCATGGAATACAACAGTGGTGGCCAAACGAATGCCCGTGGGCAAAAAAATGCCAGCAGAGAATTTTTTAAATGCTTATTAAACAGTTTGGATATTTAGGAGACAACTATTTTGGTAATGTGATACTTCCATCTACATCAAAAACTAATCCAGACATCAAACAACTAGTTACAGACGATCAAGTTCAACACTCTTAATAATTATATTGCTTTGATACAAATGATTATAACAGTTATTAGTCAACTATTTTTTTGTAAAAATAATTATTTTCTGCCCACAAAATTATTAAAAAATTTTTTTTTGCCCGTATTTTAACAAGTCTGGTCACCCCTGGAACAAAATGTTGCTATATCTGGACGGTATCTTTAAATGATGCCTTTTCTATTTTGGAAAAGGTGCAAAAACGCATTGTAAACATAATTAGATCTGCTCTTGCAACCAACCTCCAACCATTATCACATTGTTGTAATGTTGCTTCTCTTTCTCTTTTTTAAGAATACAATAATGGGCACTGCTCTAAAGAGCTAGCATTTCTTGTGCCATTTATTAAAACTCCTTTTAGTGTTACTCATCATTCAATTAAGTCTCATCTTTTTACTGTGACTGTTCCTAAGTGCTCCAAATATTTATATTTGTCTAGTTTTTCTTTGAACATCAATTCTTAGGAATTTGCTCCCTTGACCATGTTTTCCTGATTCAAATAATTTACATTCTTTTAAGTTGCCTGTTAACCGCTCTATAAACTTCATCTTTTTTCTTCCAGTAACTTCCAACTCTAATAGTAGTTGCTTGCAGTGTTGTTAGAAGTGAAGATGTTGAAAAAAAAAAACAAAAAAAAAACAGAGTGTTAGCTTCTTATCAAGTCATAATTAAATGGAAGTATTATCAGTGAACAATGCCACCTTAGATGTGGAATTTCTGGGAGATCGGTAATGTAAATTGAAAAAACTCTAGGGCAAAGAATAGAACCTTGAGGAACCCCTGAAGTTACAGGAAATGAAAAGTGCTCTCTATCAAAGAAAACTTTTATACTGCAATTAGTTAAGAAGGATTTAATAATCTTAAAGATGATACCTGGTACACTGTAAGAAGAGAGTTTATGGAGAAGACCAGCATGTTAAACTTTATCAAAGGTTTTAGAAATGTCGAGAACAATATCCCTAAGTTCTTCACATCTATCTAATGCACTAGGAAATCAATCGGTTATTACCATTAACAATCAACAATAACCTATTTAAAAAATTACATTTACAACAGTGGAAAAATACAATTTACTGACATTATAAATTGGTTCACCATAATTCAAAATAAAAGAGACTGTACATTTACCTAACTTTACATTGATAATTTTTACCTCTCAATATCAGCAGATATTTTAGATAAAACAATGGAATTAGCAAATATCTACACAGTTATTCCAGGGGAGTCAATTAGTATAATAAAGCATTGCAGAAATTTATTATATTAAGGAAACACTGAAGAAAAAAATATATACATGACTGCTTTGATGTAACATTAGGCAGTTATGATGGAGCAGAAATTTGTGAATTTGTTGGACTATAATTTGTATAATCTATTAAGTAAAATATTCAATATTAATGAATAAGGTCTTTATTGCAATGATGGTTAGTAATATGTACTATAATTATAAAAACTTATTAAAAATATAGACTTTCCAATTGAAATAAGCATAAATTTCAAAATTGGCAATTTTATTAAAGCCACATTTAACATCTCTTTGAAAAATCATAAAAGCTATTCAAAAAAGCAAATGTTGAATTATAGCATAATAATATTAACTAAAATCATCCACCCTAAATTCAAAAAAAAAGCTCCATTTTAATTAATAACGAAAACTCTTTTGATAAAAATGTATTAAATTCTTCTAAACATATTTATGAAGATGCAATTTTAAATTTTTCCAAGTATGTACTTAATTAACAATATTGACAATATTGTTAATCAAGTACATTCTTGGAAAAAGTGCATCTTCATAAATACGTTTAGAATAATTAGCTCAACAGAGGGTGAATGGAACGTTTTGCAATTCATGGACAATCCTTTGTAAGACACCATACTGTAAAAATACATATGGAAACAGGCATAAAAATAAGATTTTTTTAAAAAAACCTATAAAAATACATGAGCTAACAATAAAATTATAAAAAAAAATCCCCTTTCAAAAATATATTTAAGAAAGTAGTAGTTTACTTTTATAGTTATATTGTTACCTCACTTATTTTTATAGTTGTTTTTTTTTAAATCTTATTTTTATTTATGTCTGACAAAAAAATTAACTAACGGAACATGTTTAATTTAACGGAACAATTTATTTTTATTTAATATAACGTTTAATATAACGGAGCAATTTATTTTTAACGGAACAATTTTTACTTGTTCCGTTATATTAACTTTACTTATATTTAGGAGAGAACGGGGTGAGATGGGACAAAATTATATTTAGGGGAGAAAGGGGTGAGATGGGACAAAA